TCAAGTAAGTTTTCAATTTCTTGTTCTTTCTCTTCTCCTTCTGGCACCCCTATGATTCAGATGTTGAAATGTTTAAAATTGTTCTAGAAGTTCCTAAGCCTCTCCTCATGTTTTTGAATTCTTGCTTCTTCATTCTGTTCTGGTTGAGTGTTTCTTTCTTCCTTCTGCTCTGAACCATTGATTTGAGTACTTGTTTCCTTCCCTTCACTGTTGGTTCCCTGTAGATTTTTCTTTATTTCACATAATGGACCTTCATTGCTGCCTGGGTCTTTTTTATGCTGTTGAAGTACCCAGTGAGGTCCTGGAGCATCTTGATAACCAGTGTTTTGAACTGTGCATCTGTTAGGTTAGTTATCTCTTTGTCACTTAGTTGTTGTTTTTCTGCAGTTTTGAACTGTTCTTTCATTTGGGCCATTTTTTTTTGTATTGGCGCACCTGTTATGTAGTAAGGGGTGGAGCCTTAGGTGTTCACCAGGGTGGGGCAACCCATGTGGCTGTGTCGTGACTCTGTATGTAGGGGATGGGTCCGAGAGACAGCAATGCTGCTTGCTCACCTCTCTGCCAGTTTTCAGTCACTTACCCCACTACCCACAAGCAAATTAGGCCTTTCTGGTGCTGATTCACAGGTGGGTGGTTTTTGTACATTATAGGACCCTGTGGGTATTCTCCACAAACTCTCCTGTGAGGCTGGGAGTTTCTCCCACTGCTGCCTCAACCCCCACAGCTTCTTACAGTCAGAGGTTTTGAGGCTTTATTTCTCTATACTGCATCTCTGGGTTGTGCAGTCTATCTCACTCCCTAGTTGTTCCTCCCAGTTTATTTGCATGCAAATGTGGGACTATCCAGTCTCCCAGCCACTGCCTTCCCAAAAGTCCTCTCCACCCAGCTGCCTGTCTCCACCCCTCCTACCAGTGTGGATGAATGTTTCTTCTTTAACTCCTTAGTTGTCAGACTTCCATACAGTTCAAATTTCTGTCAGCTCTGGCTGTCTTTTGTTTTTAAATTTGTTGTCATCCTTGTTTTGGTTGTGTGAGGAGGCATAGTGTGTCTACCTACACCTTCATCTTGGCCCTCCTCCCCTTACTTTTTAAAGTAGAAGTTCTCCATTTTCTTTAACCTTGGCAAAAAAATTCTTTTTCTTTCAATTAATATTCAGTTGATATGATTAAATTATTATATTTTATAGCTTTGCCTTTTGGAATTATTTGTATAATTTCATTCCATTTTATTAATACCATTATAGAATCCTTCCATTTTTTTATATTATGAATATTGCATACTTTAACATTTTTTATATGTAAGAGCACATATTTACAATACCACATGAGTGAACAAAATCCATGAACACCCTGCTCATTTGATCTCACATTATAGAAAGGAGGCCGTTCCATAAAGCATAAGTGTGCTATGACATCATATCCTCAGGGAGAAATATGTGAAGAAAAGAAATCAATAATTGTCACATCAGCAGGATATGTAAAATTTGTTCATGAGGAACTTTGCATGTTGGCAAGATACAGAACCAGGACTAGTGTGTACCTATCAGATGTGTCACAAAAGAAATCAAAACTCAAAGCCAAGAACAGCAAAGGAAAGATGCCACAAAGATAATGAGAGATGTGCCAGCCTCATCCACTGCTGGGCCATATAAACACAAGGGTGATGTAATAACCATGGAAGAGGTGCATGACAATTAGGTCAGAGGTCAGTGAAGCAGTAATGGTCTGGTCAATGTGTGGTCCCTTGAGTCTGAGGTGACTTCAGCACCCATGCTGGCTGACTCTTCTTTCTGCACCTGGCTCTCTGCTGGGCTCTTCACACTTACTGCTTTCCCTCATTAACAGGAACTGGGCTTTTGAACTCTTCTTGCATTTATTGCACTGAATTCCAGATTCTTTTGACATGTCCCAAACTAAGACATGCCTTTTACACTACAATCCAGCATTTTTGCACACAGGCCCAGAAACACACACACACACACATACACACAAACACACAGTCATACACATGCATGATCAAAGGGAACCACAAAATGATTATGTATGTACTCTCACTATGTATGACACATTCTAATATTTTCTTTTGTGCCCTCTTGATTCAATTTTATTTCATTCTTATAAACCATAGTCTAACACCCTTGTTTATGCTGATCTCAGAATGTGGAGAAATATTCCTCCAGCATGTCCTCCACACCTAGGAATGAGATAATGAGATATCTCATTCCGTTGTGGAGTACATGTTTATTCAGCTACACTCCACTGAGCCTGGTGGGGGAGGAGGAATTTGAATAATATGCTTCATGCTTCAGGCACTCACTCTCTAGCAAGTAAGAAAGACATGGAAATAAATAAAAATCACACCATTGGTGCTCTAACACCTCAATTAGGAGTGTGGGAAGTGTCCTTTTCCTGTGCTAATATTAGGTAAAAGAAAAGGCCCATGAAGGAGACAGTTCATCTCTCTGAAAGGGGAGATGGAGTTTGGAGGATGGAGAGGGTGTGAAGAGTTCCAAAGGGACCAGTAGGGAGACTCCAAGCACGGGAGAGTCAGTGTATCAAGGCCCCAAACCCTAGGCTGTGGTGTCAGGTGCAGCAGACAATCAAACCCAATATTCAGGAGATCAGTGTGGGTGAGGGCAGGACCCTATGAAGGTGAAACTGGCAGAAAGGTCACAGAGACTTGAGCCTCATGTTTGAAGCTACAGAATTTTGGCTTCTGTCTCCACTGAGCAGTCACTAGGGGAGGCATTTAATTCAGAGAGTTCCATGACCTGCTTTGAAATACAGAAAATTCTCTCTGAGTCTACATGAGCATTTGGGTAGAGGGGTACCAGCATGATAGATGGGAAAGATGACAAGGAACAGAAATATGGCTGTGCAATTGGGGCCCAACGTGGTGGGAAGCAGTGGAGACATTTGAGAGGCAGAAGGGAATAAACAGCTGCATCTCATCCCAGTGGTCACCACTCACTTAGCAACAGGAAGGGCCTAACCCAGCTCCTTTCAAATAATGTGTTGATTATCTGTCCGTGGTAGGCGGACAGATGCCACAATGCCCACTATCAGGTGAGATCATTAACAATTTTTATGTTGTGCATCTGAAACAGTTAATGTCAGAAACCAATGTTACCTCATTTTTTAAAAAAAGGGAGCATATAAAAATCATGTAGGCTGGACCAAAAAATACAATTAAATTAAAGAAATAAAATGGTCTAAATGGTCTGCAAGTTCAAACAGCTGACATGTGGTAGATAAGTTGAAATCGGCCATGTAATCCAAAAGCTTAGCATATGTTATCATTTAGAAACTGGTTTCCATTTCATCTTCAAGAACCTCCACTATCGTCATTGTATTTGCTGATGCTGATTGTGTTTGTTTCCTTTGCTTGTTTTTAGTAGGATGTTTGATGTGTATGACACCTTGACAATGTAAAATAACACTCTTCTTTCTTTGATAAATTGCTATTTGCTGTTTTATCAGTTATTCTGGGTGTGAAGGGCATGGAACTGGGGTTGGAATGCTGCCAGAACCAGGGAGCTTTGCCTCATCTCAGCCATCAAGTACCTCCTGAACAATTAGATCTTTCCCCTTCACATGCATGTTTTCCTCTCTGTTTTTTAACCAGTTTTTAAAATTTCTTTAAAAAAGGATGCAAAATGGTCATATGAAAATAGAGTCCCATGATAACTTATCTATTCGAGGCTTAACAACTAGAAGTTGGATACTGTTTCTTTTTTTTATTGTTGTTCAAATACATTTGCCCCTCTTTTCCCCATCATTACTCACCCCAGCACTAGTCACCCCAACCTCCCACCTTTAATCCCCTCCACCATTGTCTTCCCTAAGAATCCTGAAACGTCAATTCAAAAGAACCTATGCACCCCGATGTTCATAGCAGCATGATTAAAATAGCCAAGTGTTGAAAACAGCCTATGTGTCCATCGGTAAATGAGTAAATAAAACTGGATACTATTTCTATATTCAGGAGAGTGAAGATAGTCTGATGTTGACATCATGCCTTGTATCCTTCCTTTTCCAATTACTGTGACAGAGTGAAAAGAGCTTGGTGATAACAAGGCCCCAGAAAGTCACTGTGTGTGTGTGTGTGTGTGTGTGTGTGTGTGTGTGTGTTGTAGGGCAGTTTGACCTGAGCGCATATACTCCAAAATGTGTCCTTTAACAAACACAAGCCAGAATATTAACCAACCCATGAAAATAAAAGGGGGATCTCTTGCTATTTACAAGATTTTTTGGAAACAACTTAATAAAATGCAGGGAACCGCATGTGAGCAAGGGATTCTTCCTGTCTCTGAGTTTCAGCAGCAGCAGGAAAGCCATCTCACTCCCCCTCATTCTCTGACACCATCTCTCATCTCTGCTCTTTCTCCTTCTACTCCCTGTGCTGAGTCCTTTCTGAGTCCTGAATGTCTGAAACAAGTGACATCTCTGGGTCTTTGCACTATTTTCCCCACCCCACCCCCTATTTCCTCGTATCTCACACTCTGTTTTCCTAGAAGTCACTACTCAGGTGTCATCTTGTTTGCAGGGCTTCCTGAGGGCCCAGTTAAAAAAAAAAAACCCATCCACTCTCTTTTACACTTACTTTCTTTTTCTTCACCTAACAGCATCTAACATGATGTATGATATAGATACATATTATATATTGCTTCACTATCATTATATTCTAATGATTTTGTCACTCACCATCCCAAACCCTTACCCTAGAGATTGGGATATCAATAAATATTCCTCAAGTGCATGAAAGTACTTCTCATTAAAATTGTGTAACCATGACAACCTTAGGCAAAGTGACTGAGGAGGACAGAAATTCCTAATGAAAGATGTCATGGAAGGGGATGCCATAAATAGCATGATACACACAAAAAAATAGATATTATTTTACTGTAAAATACAGTTGTAGTATTTGAACTATGCTAGTAAAATTTTCATTTGTATAAAAACTGATCATGCCATTTTTTCCCTACTAGTCACCTGCACCACATGGTACAAGGCAATAATACCCCAATTTCAGAATTTCTTCTCCTGGGATTATCAGAAGTACCAGAACTGCAGCCCCTCCTTTTTGGGCTGTTCCTCTCCATGTATCTGATCACTGTGCTGGGAAACCTGCTCATCATCCTGGCTATCAGCTCAGACTCCCACCTGCACACACCCATGTACTTCTTCCTCTCCAACCTGTCCTTGGTAGACATCTGTTTCACCTCCACCACCATCCCAAAGATGCTGCTGAACATCCAGACACAGAGCAAAGCCATCACCTATGCAGGCTGCATCGCCCAGATTTATTTTTCCCTACTCTTTGCATTGTTGGACAACTTCCTCCTGACTGTGATGGCCTATGACCGCTTTGTGGCCATCTGTCACCCCCTGCACTACATGGGCATCATGAACCCCTGGCTCTGTGGACTGCTTGTTCTGGTGTCCTGGATCTTGAGTGTTCTGGATTCCTTGCTTCAGTGCTTGATGGTGTTGCAACTGTCCTTCTGCCCAGACTTGGAAATCCCCCATTTTTTCTGTGAACTCAATCAGTTGACCCAACTTGCCTGTTCTGACAATTTTTTAAATAACATTGTGATGTATTTTGCAACTTTGCTACTAGGTGGTGGTCCCCTGGCTGGGATCCTTTACTCTTACTCTAAGATTGTGACCTCCATACGAGCAATCCCATCAGCTCAGGGGAAATATAAAGCATTTTCCACCTGTGCATCTCACCTCTCAGTTGTCTCCTTATTTTATGGTACCAGCCTAGGAATGTATCTCAACTCTGCCAACATCCACAGCTCACAGTCAAGTGCAGTCGCCTCAATGATGTACACTGTGGTCACACCCATGCTGAACCCCTTCATCTACAGCCTCAGGAACAAAGATGTAGAGGGGTCTCTGAAAAGATTCTTTGTCATGATAGTTACAAAAGGGACAATCATTCTGAGGCCAAAAAAGTAACCTTGCTTTCTTGGCCCCAAGTCTCAAAACTGTAAATGGTGATTCTTTCATCAGATTTTGGGTTTTAAACTTGCTCCTTTTATTTCTGTCCTGGAATTTCCTTTGTTTGTTTCAACTTCTCCATATAGTTTAAGCCACCATTTTACTAAGTTTTCTACTTTGTCTATTATATAAACAGTTTTTCCTTTTGTCCATTTTCCAAAAATCAAAAAGTTTTCTCAAACCCTGATCAGATGTATTTGGAAGTGTTTCTTTACTTCTGTGGCAACATTGATGTCTTTAGAATAATTTCTTCTCAAATAACATATAGGGCCAGCAGAAGTAAGGCTTGCTTGAGTGTGGTTGGTAGGGTACGTGAATACCTCACACGAGATGGACAGCAATTTCAACATTTCACCTGAAGTATCATATGGTGTGTTTGACTATGATACTGCTTTGTTACAGAATTACATGCTTATGATTGTATAAGAAAAAGGAGGTGTTAGTGGTGCTGGACCATGTATATCATTGTAAGTAGTTACTTCTTTTTTTGTAGATAGAATAGTAGTAAGTGGTATAACTCATGGAAAAACTTCACTTGGCTACTAAGTCCTTTAGATAATTTCATTCCATAAAAATCCAAAACCTCCATTTTTACCTTGTTTCCCTCATTCTTTGTACATCAGTACCCTAGCGCCTCTTCCTGGGGATGTAGACTTCATCGTTGTTCCCTGTAAGTCTCAGCCTGTTGACAGTGATGCTATAGAATAGGAAGGCCTGGGCACTGGCCTTGGGCCCTTCTACTAGTTGCTGAGACCACAGTCAATGTTGTGGCTGGATGGGCCCTTATGGTCCTTATTGTAATTCCAAACACCATCATGAAAACATAACATTTATTATACACAAGTCAAACACATCTGAAAGCCACACAAAACTGTGTGTGTGTGTGTGTGTGTGTGTGTGTGTTTGCATGTGCATGTATCTCTCTGTGTGTGAAAGAGATAGAGAGACAAAGAGAGAGAGAATGGACTTGGACTGAAGTGCTCTGCCTGTAATGGGGTTCAAGAGCAGGGTGGTTAGGGTTTTCAGATTCTCTTTTTATTGGCAAATTCAAAACATAAGAGTGGGAATTAGAGTTAGGAAATAAAAGCCAGCAGCATCCATGTGGTCAGTTATTTAGGTTACTCAGATTTTTCTAAAATGGGAAGTTTATCACATGTTAATTCTTGTATAAAAATTACAAAAGTTCTGTGTATATTCCTGGGTGTAATTCCAAATGAACTTTGTCCCTGGATAGATCCATGGTCTAACTTACTCCTTTTTATCTTATTGAAAATGCTCCTAATTAAAAATGAAAGTGCTTATCTTTCAAGTTCCAAAACAAAATAAATACATTAAATTAAAACTAAAAAGAGAACTCTATGGTTCTGGGCAACTCGAATGCTTATGCAGCAGCTGTGTCATGCATCTGGCACTGTGATGACCTGAAATGAATGGCTTTCAAACAAAAGTTCAGTCAGGTACTTACTCCACAAACATCCTACTGTGTTTACACCTAATTTCCAGGTTTTATTGTCTCTTCAGCTGCAGGGCCAGAATACCTACCACAGTACTGGCAAAACTTGATTATCAAATATACATCTTCCAGTGGAGTCTATTTGGAAACTTATGTGAGAGGTTCAGAGACAGAAGGAAAATTGAAGCATAAATGAAAATCTGAAATAAAGAAGAGGTAAGGCACCTGGGGCTTCAGAGGGCAGGAAAGACATTGTAGGACAATAAGAAGAGTGGATGTTCAGTAATGAGAAATTTGTCCTGCCCTATGCAAAGGTCATAAAAAGTTATCTCTGATAATAACTGATTCTGGGCAAGACCCAAAATTTAAATTCTTTAATGGAGAAGTATAGGTTTCTCTTGGACTGCTAGGGTCTCAATTACATTCAGCTAAAAACTAATCCACATACATGTCTTGGGGTGACTCATTCTGAACCCTTACAGTAGTGACCTAGTGTCATCCTTTTGCATGTAGCTGTCCAGTTTTTTCAGCACCATTTATTGAAGTAACTATTATTTCCCCATTGTATATTCATGTCTCCTTTCTCTGGATTAATGACCTTATGTGTGGGGGTTTATTTCTGGGTTCTCTGTTCTCTTCCATTGATTTCTGTGTCTGCTTCTATGCCTGTACCATACTGCTTAAATTACTATAGCTTTGTAATATAGTTTGCAATCAAGAAATGTGTTATTTCCAGCTCTGTTTTACTTTCTCTAGGTTGCTTTGGCTATTGAAGGTGTTATGTGGCTCCATGCAAATTTTAGGATTGTTTGTTTTATTTCTGTGAAAAAATGACATTGGAACTTGACAGAGATTGAATTAGATCTTTTGATCATTTGAGGTATGTTTTAAAACAAAACTCAACCTAGTAGTCTTGAAGATTGAATTGGCTTTATTAAGTAATTTATTCTTTGAGTCATGGATCAGGCAGCATCCTATGCAGCAACCAAGAAGGACCTCCAAAGGGATGTACAGAATAGACATTTTTGTGGGAAAAAGAGGGGGCCAGAAAGGTATTAACAACAAAAAATAAAAGATTATTTTATGGCCATGATATCTTTTCTTTGGGGAAGAGATGGGGAAGGATTTTTACCTTACAGATTTCCTCTTCTTTCCATGGTGTCAAGAGCCCACGTGACAGATTTAATTACTGGCGCTGGACCAGAAAATTCCAGAGTGGTTGATTAAAATTAAGCTTCTGGGAAATTCAATCTAAATTTGTCATCATGGCTTTTAACTTGAGCGATGCCATTTTGGGCCTGTGGTTTTCTGTTTAATGGTAGTATGGACATTTACAATATTTTGTAAATATTATTTTGTAAATGTAGTATTTTGTAATGGTAGTATTGGACATTACAAAATTAACAATATTAATTTTTGCAGTCCATGGACACAGAGTAACTTTCTTTTTGTTTGTGCCTTTATCAATACATTTCTGCAATGTTTTATAATTTATTTCTAGATACTTTTTTGATGCAATGGGAAATGGAATTGTTTTCTTAAGTTCTCTCAGTTCATTATTTAGTGTATATACACAATAGATTTTTGTATGTTGATTTTGTATCCTGCATCTTCACTGAATTTGTTTATTAGTTTTAACAGAGTTTTAAAAATAATTTGTGGGAGTGTAGTAACATAGAACAAACAGAACATATTAAAATGCAGGTTCTGGAAGATGGCGGCAAGATAGGTGGGAGCAGAGCCCACTTACCCCTGCAAACAGGTGGGACACCTAGCCAATCTTCTAAGGAATAGAGTGAACAACCAACAATATCTCAGCATATATGAAGATTGGAAGTCAAAATTGTAGAGGACATTGAAAAATCAGACAGTAAGAAGAATGCCTTGGAGCAATAAGGTCTCCAGGCCCAGAGCAGGGACCAGGGTGGCTGCAGCTGCAGGCCTGGTGCCTGCTGGGTCTGTTGCAAGATCCTTGGGAGAGAGCCAGGTCAACCACTCTCTCCCCTGCCAAACAAGGTTTGAACAGCACCAGGAGGGACCTGGATGCTTGAAGTCGAAGTGGGGAGGAATAAGGACAAAGTGACAAACACACAGAGTCAGTGTGCACCTGCTGAGACTGAGTGCACCTGCAGAGTCTGTCAGAAGGGGCCCTGACCCAGACAGTCCCCAGTCTGGTTGGTGAGTTGGGCTGTATGAGAGGTCAGGCCCTTGCGTGGAGCGTCAGGCTTGAGCAGGAGGGGTTTTTCAAAAAGAAAAAGAAAAAAAAAAAGACTGGCTGTTTGGGGAATTCTCCCGGGACCGCCACCCCCGCCTCCCTGGTTGTGCCTGAGCAGCCTCCACAGACTCAACCATGGGCCCACCTCTACTGCCAGGACTATGACTGAGTCCCCAACCCCGGCCCTAGTGGCGGAGGGCGCTCAGCCACACTGAGACCCCAGAGGCATGCCACAGACCTGGCTGTCCAGCAACCGGTCTAGCTGTAGCTGCAACGGCTGCGAGCTCACACCCGAGTCCTCAAGGACAGTGCGCACCCAAATCCGTGGCCCAGCACCAGTCCTACTCAAGCTGCGGAGGCTGAACACCCATTTCCGCAGCCCCCGAGGTCAGAGCTGTGGCGGAGGCTGCGTGCTCCCACCTGAGGCCCGTGGGACAGTGCACACCTGAACCTCAGCCCAGCAGCTTGCCCACCCTGCCCAAGCAGAGGAAGCAGAGAGCTCACACCCACAGCCCCGAGGACAGTGTGCACTGGAACCCGAGGTTCAGGGGCTGCTGGTCCAACCCCAGGGGCAGAAGCCCAGCGCTCACGCTCACAGACCCCAGGAGGAGTGGACCTGACCCTGCCACCCAGAGGCACATAGCACACAATCCCACCAATCCTCCCTCAGTTTGCTGCAGCCAGAAAGACCAGCAGAACTGGTTTGGCTTGTTTAAAACCAGCAGGAGGCTTCCTTTTATTTTTTTTTCTTTTTTCTTTTATTTATTTTTTTAATTTCTTCTTCCTTTCTTTCTTTCTTTCCTTTTTTATTACTTCTTCCTTCCTTTCTAATTCCTTCTTCCTTTCCTACCTCTTACTTATTTTTTAAAAATTCTTTCTTCCTTCCTTCTTTCCAATTCACTCTTCCTTCCTTTTTTCATTTTTATTTTTTATTTTTAATTCCTTCTCCTTTATTTCCTTCTTTCCTTTTTTCAATTCCTTCTACCTTCCTTCACTTTTTTCTTTTTTTTATTCCCACAAGTGAGACAATAAACCCTGAAGCTGTGAAAGGACGAGAGTTGGACCCAAAGAGGGGTCATCCCAACAACTGAGACAGTGAAACAAATTCACTTTGCTACTACAAAGAAATTGCAAGTTATTGTATATTTGTATTTTTTTCACTATTTTTACATCTTTTATTTTATTAGTATTTTTTTATTTCTCTTCTTTCTGTTTAGTCTTCTTTGCTTGGTTTGTTAAATTGCAGTGTTTGATTGGTTTCCATTGTTCTCTCTTTCATAGTGCATTTTT